AGTCTGGGGGCGACCTTGGGCGCCTCTTGGGCCGTCCTGGAGCGTCGGGAAGCCGAATCTCTCAAAGACCTAAGGAACATCAATCATTTGTTCATCTTAGGGGCCTCTCGGGAGGCCTCTTGAGCCCATCCCGCCACCGTGCTTGGGCTGTGGTTCGGAGGCCTCTTGGATGCATATAAGAATCTTTTGGGATGCCTCTCGGGGGACTCTTGGAGGGGTCTTGTCTTGGGGGCTTCTAGGGGGCCTCCTGGGAGCCTCTTCGGGAGTCCTGGAGGCCTCTTGGGCGCCTCTTGGGGCGTCTTGAGGGACCTCGGGAGCCTCTTGGGGGGCTCTTCGGACGATCTTGGGGCGGACGGCTCGAAATGTCCGTTCATGCTCCCCCTCCTTGGCCTCTCTTGGGTGCCTCTTGGGCCCCTCTTGGGGGCTTCTCGGGCCTTTTTGGGGTCCTTTTGGGGCGTCTTGGGGCCCTCCTCAGGGCCTCCCGGCGTTAACAGCTGAAAAAGGCGAGAAGATTGAAATCATTCACACATCGTGTTGGAAAATTGATGATTTGGGCCTCCTGGGGGTACTCTTGGAGCCCTCTTTGGAGCTCCTTGTGGGCTTCCATGGTTGCCTTCGAGCTATCTTGAGGATCTGGGGGCGATCTTGTGGCGACTCGAGGCTCCATTGGGCCGTCATCGCGGCCTCCTCGGTCCCTCCGGGTCCATCTTGGGACCCTCCTGGCTTCCAGAAGACGCGCGCGACACACTCCACGAGCTCCCCGGGAGCGCTGGGGAAACCGGGTGTCCAGGCCCCGCAGGAGAGTCTTAGCTGCAGCAGCAGCAGCAGCACAGCCGAGAGCCTCGGGGCATTCCGCTTCGCGCCAAGGGCACGGTGGCGGATGTCGTGGACGGGGCCGTGATATTTGCCCCGCTCTCGTGCCCCCTTCCCCTTCTTCTTCTTCCAGCGCGTCCCCTCGGCCCGGGCCGCACACGTGCCTCGGGCCATGCTTTGCGGCCCCCCCACTTGGGCGCGCCCGCCTTCTGGGCGCCCCCCTCCTGGACGCCCCCGAGGTGCTTGCCTCCTCCCCCCAGCAGCGCCCGCAACCTCGGGCACGACACTCACGGCCGACGAGTCATCCGCACGGTGGCCAAGCGTCGCCTCTTGGCGTTGGGTGCACGTGGCCATCGCACTAGCGCCCTGCATCGTGCAGCAGGGGCCCGCATCCAGACGCTTTGGAGGACCGGGCTGCTCCCATCGGCGGCCCATGGCGCAGCAGTTTCGGGCACCCCGGACGATCACTTGGGGCGGCTCCGCCACACGGCGGCCTTGCTCTGCAGTGGCAAAGGCGGGGTTGGAGCTGACTCCATAACGCTCCACCTCGCCACGCAGCGCGACCAGTACTTTGACCCGATTTTCGACACGACGATCGCCCCTGTCTTCAAGTACTGTGCCTTCATCTGGGACGCCAGGTTGCCCCTGGCGCAGTTGCAGCGTGCCTGGTGCGTCCTCGAGGCAACGGGGCTCCTGGAGAAGCCCACCTGGAAGGGCGTGCGGGGCCCCCTGGCGGCAGCGTGGATGAGCCTCCTCCGCATTGGGTGGACCATGCACTCGAGCCTCATCCTGGTCACCGACCAGGGCGCCATCATCTCCCTCTTGCGCACGGCGCCGAAGGACGTGCGCCACCTGCTGCGGGAAGGCATCCGCAGATGGCAGGGCAGGCAGATTCTCAGCCACCATGCCGATTTGGTGCCTGACCAGGCCGAGCTCTGGCATCGAGCCATGCGCCGGGTGCTGGCGCCGCCCAGGGCCGCGGTCAAAGGGGCGCACGCGGGCAATCTGCGCAAGCTCTGGGCAGGGGCCTCCTGGGACATAGCCAAGCGCCACCAGCATCATTACGTGGCTTCTCCCATGTGCCCCCATTGCCCACAGCAGATCTGCGCTCGAGGCCATCAGATCTACGAGTGCCAGCACACGCTGCAGCACCACAGCGACGACTCCATGGAGCCGCTTTCAGAGGAGCTGGAGCGCGTCAGGGAGAGGCTCGCCTCGGCTGCGCGGACGCCAGCTACGACCGGTTTGACTTGGTGGTCGGGCTGCCGCTGATGCCGCCCATGCCGCCCGCCCCAGTGGCCGCTGCCGAGGTCCACTTCTGGGGCGACTGGGCCTCGACGGCTCGCTGTAGCCACACGGTCGCTTACACCGACGGTTCTGGCTACGACACGGAGTGGCCCGGGCTCTGCCGTTGTGGCTGGGCGGTCGTGCAGATGGGCCCTGACGACATGCCCGTCCGTGCCATGTACGGCGTGCTGGCGGGGCCGAGGCAAACTGTTGGCCGCGCAGAGAGAACAGCTATGCTGATGGCCCTCAGGCATCTCCCTTGGCTCTCCCACATCGTCTCTGACTTGGAGTCGCTGGTCCATGAGGGCAATGCGTGGGACGACAGCCTGGCCAGCTCGTCCAACCAGTACGCTGACATCTGGCGGGCGGCCTTCGCTGCAGCAGGGCCCTGTCCACTGGGCTTCTCATGGTGCCCTGCCCATCGCGATATCCAGCACTTCTTGGACGACAGGGTCGCCGCCGACTTCTACGGCAATGCGTGGGCCGATTTCTTTGCAAAGGTCGGAGCTCGTGAACACGTACTTCCAAGAGCTGTGCATGATGCATTCGCGGCCAGGCTCTCGGATGCTCGCCTCGAGGGTAAATTGTTTGCCTGGCTCATGGCCAGGCTGGGCGAGCAGCAGGAGGAGCTCGACGCGCTGGTAAAGAAGACCAGGCGCCCCGCAGCGCCCGCGGCACCAGCACAGGTGGTGTCGGGGCGCCATCGCCTCCGCCCTGTCTTTGGGGGCTTCTGGCGCTGCGCCTTCTGCGCAGCCACTGCTAGCACTGACGAGGCCAAGCAGCGTCTCGAGCGCGCGGTCTGCGCGCCCTCCCCGCTGCAGAAGCTTATGGCTGCTGCCTCTGCCGGCTCCTCCTCATCCTCCTCCCTCCCGTCGGCTCGGGAAGAGGCCATCGCGATAGCCCTCGCTGCGGCCCATCGTTATTTGAATTCTTTTTCTGACGGGGCCACTGACGCTCGGGCGTCTAGTGATTTGGGGCTTGGGTCTGCACCGTCGCGGGAGGACCCTTCGGCTACTACATCTGCTAGTAGCGCATCGTGTCCAGCGGCTCTTGTTTCTGGTAGGCCAGAGGCTCCAGAGGTAGGAGGGGCTGATGTTTCAGGCGCTGGGGATTTTACCATTCTTCGGGGACACCATTTGGTCTCTGAGGGACCCTTCGTGTTTTGTTTAAACTGCGGGGGCAATTCCTCAACCCGGCAATCCCCGACCCTGCTTTTGCAAAGGTAAGCGTGGAATTACTCAGGGAAGAATCGCGGCCCTTAATAACCTGAAGGCCAAACGTCACCCGCGAACGGGAGCTCCCCTAAGCGGTGACACCCAACGCGGCTAAAGGGTTGCCGCGTTTTCCGTCTTTACTCGTGGCTCCCTCGTTTCTTCGGCGGAGTTCATTGGGCTTGCGTCTCCTCCTCCTCCTCCTCCTCCTCCTCCTCCTCCTCCTCCTCCTCCTCCTCCTCCACAGTTACTCAATCTGAAAATACTCTCCCTCTTCCCCTGATGGCGTCCGGGTGATGGCCGCGCACCCTCCGCGCACTGTTTTTTAAACACAGGATGCCCGGGAAATCCCGGGAAACGACTCTCGCTGAGGCGCCGGCGTCATTTTTTCCCAAAATGCTGCTCTCGTTGAGGCGCCGGCCTCATTTCTGCTCCCGAATCGTTCCGAATCGTGCTCCCGCTGCAGCGTGGGCCTCATTTTCGGATCGGTGTTTGGCCTCCGTCGTTCAGGATGGCGTTCTCGCCCCAGCGCGGGCCTTTTCTCGCGCGCCCATCCGCCCGCCACCACCGCGCCGCACCGCCACCACCACCACCACCACCACCACACCACCACCACCAGCACCAGCACCAGTACCAACACCACCACCACACCAGCACCACCACCACCACCATCACCACCACCACCACCACACCACCACCACCACCACCACGACAACCACGCACACACGCACGCACGCACGCACGTGCACCACCACCCACTACGCACGCGCGCGCGGAGCCACAGGTCCGCTACGACACGCGTCCGCGGATAGAAAAAATCAGCGCCATGGTAAGGGATGGGAGGGAGGGGTAGGACGTCAGATATGACGCGAGCGCACCTAGCTTGTCCCCCCCCTTCACAATTACTCAATATGAAAATACTCTCCTTCTTCCCCTGATGGCGTCCGGGTGATGGCCGCGCATTCTCCGCGTGCTGTTTTTTAACACACAGGATGCCGGGGAAATCCCGGGAAACGACTCTCGCTGAGGCGCCGGCGTCATTTTCGGGCCGAATGCCCCCCGCGTACTGTTTTTTAACACACAGGATTCCCGGGAAACGGGTTTTCGCCTGCGTTTTTTTTAATGATGCTCTCGCTGAGGCGCCGGCTTCATTTCTGCTCCCGAATCGTTCCGAATCGTGCTCCCGCTGCAGCTTGGGCCTCATTTTCGGATCGGTGTTTGGCCTCCGTCGTTCAGGATGGCGTTCTCGCCCCAGCGCGGGCCTCTTTCTCGCGCGCCCATCCGCCCGCCACCACCGCGCCGCACCACCACCACCACCACCACCACCACCACCACCACCACCACCACCACCACCACCATCACAACCACCACCAGCACCAGCACCACCACCAGCACGAGCACCACACCAGCACCACCACCACCACCACCACCACAACCACGCACACACGCACGCACGCACGCACGCACGCACCACCACCCACTACGCACGCGCGCGCGGAGCCACAGGTCCGCTACGACACGCGTCCGCGGATAGAGAAAATCAGCGCCATGGTAAGGGATGGGAGGGAGGGGTAGGACGTCAGATATGACGCGAGCGCACCTAGCTTGCCCCCCCCCTCCCCCTCCCCCTCCCCCCCCCTCCCCCTCCTCCCTCCTCCCTCCTCCCCCCTCTTCCTCCTCGGCCGCCAGGGGCTCTTCGAGGAGGCGCGCCACAAGGCTCTCCGGCTGAAGAGGCCCCCTCCTCGCGCCGCGGCACGTGGGGAGGCGCCGCAGCGGAGGCTTTGGGGCCCGAGGCCCGAGATCCGGCGCTGTGTCGCGGTGCTGCTCGCAATGGGCGCGGTGTCGCCTTGCTTCGGGCCCCATACCCAGACCCCCTCGGGCAATGACACAATCGCGACGGGAGGTTTTTCATAACTTTCGGCTTCCAGGGGCCCGTCCGGGCCTCGGGACCGTCAAAAATCTACTGAGGATTGCAAACTGGTAACTGGTCCCGGAGGGGAATAGGTCGAAATAGGGGGAGGGGAGTCCCCTTGGTTCTGATCGACAGCGCCGAGTGTTGCGGGGGGGGGGGGGCCACCCCCTGGTTCGAAATGCGCCGCCGAATGTTCCCAAGGCAAGCGCCCGTGAAACGCGCTCGCTCTCTCGGAGGCTCACTAGCCTGCCGATTTCCGCCGATTCAACTTTTTCCGGCTCGGCTGCCAATCTCCGCCGATCCGATCCATTTCGATCGCCGATCCGATCTATCGATCCGATTCTGGGCGCTCCTGCCCACGGGGACCTTCGACTGGATATTCCAGGTCTCTCCATAAGCGGGGGGGGGTGGATCGCGTGGGGGGGGGGGGGGGCAAACCGCTGTCCTTCGGAGGGCGTGGGGAGGTTGGGGAGCGAGAGGGGGTGGCTTTGGGGCGCGTGGGGGGGCGGGCAAGGGGCGTCGGACAGGTTGGCACGGGGGGGGGGGCTTATTGAAGGATCTGGAGTACCCATGCCCCCAACGAACTGGGACAGTCCGCTCGGGGGCACGTCGTTGTCCTCGGCAGCTTGGGTGGGTCCTGGCCAACCCCTGGGACCGTCGAGCACTGATGCACTCAGCATGCCAAACCAGCCCCCGGGAAGAGGGTCGGGGCGCCCGGGGACCCTGCATTTAAGTCGGGCCTGTCCCCTACAGGAGGAAGATTCCAAAGTAGTTGTAACAAATACTCTGGGGAGGATTGTCTCTGGCATTTCTCCATAATTTTGAGGTATTGGACTATTTTTGAAGACTTTCGCCCAAAGGCCACCTGCAGGGGGACATGTCCGACCTAACCCTACACCGAAAAGCGTCAATACATCGGACCGTTGGGCCGATCGGGCTCGAGAAGTGTTGCGGGAGGAGTGGGTCGGAAAACACGTGGGCATGGGGGGGGCGAGAGGGACGGGGCGAGGGAGGGCAGGGGAGGGGAACCAGAGCGAGGAGGCGAGGATGGAGGAGGGTCCCGTGTCTACCCGTCCAGGGGTGCGTCTGCGCATCTGCTCGAGTTTGTCACGGGCGCTCTCGCACCGGGTCCCGGAAGTGCGAGCACCACCCAGGCACCACCAGCTTCCGATGCCGAGCGACGCCTGCCTCGGCATCTCCTGTTCCCGCCCCAACCTCTGCTTCCTCTTGCTTCCGATCCGCTTCTGCTCTGCTTCCAGCTCTTTCGCGCTTTTGTTGTTTCTCTCTCTCTCTCTCTCTCTCTCTCCATGCTCCATGCGCACCTGCTTAGATCTCGACGGCCGCTTCCTCATACGCCCTCTCGCTCCAGGGCCCCCTCGGCCCCCTCCTTGCCCCCCTCTGCTTCGATATCCCCTCTGCCCTGGGACCTCTCCTCCAGTCTCGCCCCCGCCTCGAGCCAGCCCTCTGCTTCCCGCGTTTCGCGTCCCCTCCGGCACCGCTGCTCCAAGCTCCTACCTCTGCCTCCAGACTCGGGACGATCGAGATGGGGACGGAACGAATGGGCACAACGACCAGCAGCAGTTGCTTCCCATTTTGAACTGGACTCGCTGTCGGTGCCGCCGCGGACCTGGTTCACTTGAGACAGAGGGCCGCCGTCCCAACAGCGGCCGCTGTGGGCTTTGGACAACATTTGTTGTTGGGCATTCTACCCATGTTTTCCGTACCCATGTCAGGCGTCTAAACGGACCGCCCAGTCTCTTTTTGCCCTCGCTTCCTCACAGCCGGTTGCCGCGGCCCCCCCCCGCGCAGCGACTGGCCCGACGACGAGGCCACCAGAATCTTGCTCGAGCAGGCCGGGCAGGGCCGCCTCGTGTGTTTGCGTGCTTGCGTGCTTGTGTGTGTGTGTGTGCGTGTGTTCGCTAGCGTGCGTGCGCGTGCGCGCGTGTGCGCGTGTGCGCGTGTGCGCGTGTGCGCGTGTGTGTATATGCGTGTGGATGGGTGTGTGAGTGGGCTTGTCCATCGCCAGCGCAGTGACTTCTGCCTAGCCGCCGAAGGCGGGAGTGGGGGTGAGGGTGGTGGTGGAGGTGTGGGTGTGGGTGTGGGTATGGGTCAAGCAAGCCAGCTCGAGCGAGTCAAGCATGGCATGCCCATTCCCACCCGCCCTCCCACAACATAAGAAACAGTGATGGCACAACTGGGGGTTGCGCGGGCATTTCAGTGCGAGTGGAGGATACCCCAGGACACCGCATTGACGTCCGCGCGGGATGTGCGCCGCGT